TGGCTATAGACTGGTGGCAGACTTCATTAAATTAAGGACCTAATGACTTATGACTCAGTAATTGTACTCCTATTATATTAAAAGGAAATTCTCTGTCTCTGGGCCATAAGGTGATGTAACCTTGGGTGTTTTACTGGGAAGCTTATAAGATAAAATGGAGGGTGGGATGGGGTGAGGTATAGACCACATAGTACTTCCTCTGCAGCCCTTAGAAACAGGTATGATTGATACACAGCAACATTCAGGCATGATGCTGAATCACAAAACTGAGAAAGTGAAGTATAAAACAGGACTATTTACCTAAATTAAAAATATGTGTATATAGAACAAGAATTTGTGATTTGCAAAAACTCTTCTAACAGATAATAAAAAAACAAAACAAAAAAAAACCCAAGAAAACCAAGTGGATCCCAGTGAAGCCTGTGAAGTAGGAAATTGGGAAAAGAACTGGGGGATGAGGGTAAAGAGAATACCAACCAACCAAAATCCACTGCTATCAAGTTGATTCCAACTGATAGGGAATCTATGGGACGGGGTAGAACTGCCCCACTGGCTTTCCAAGGCTGTAAATCTTTATAGAAGCAGACTGCACTAGCTTTCTCCTGCAGAGTAGCTGGTGGATTTGAACCATCAATCTTATGGTTAGCAGTCAAATGCCTTAATCACTGTGTTACCAGAGCGCCTCCCAACAACTAAAACCAACCAAAACCAAAATCACTGCTGGGGAGTCTGATCCGACTCATAGCTACCCCTCCTTGGGTTTCTGAGGTGGTATCACTACAGAAGTAGATTACCCAACCTTCCTTCCGAGGAGTGGCTGGTGAGTTTGAACCACCAGCCTTCTGGTTAGCAGTCAAATGCCTTAGGCACTAGGCCACCAGAGCTCCCCTCCAACAAATAACAGGACAATAATAGCAAAAGTGACATACGAAGGATTGCAGAGTGAGAGAGAAAGGAGAGCTGTCCAGCAGCTGATTTAGTCCAGCGTGGGGCAGCCCTAGTTTAGGACTTAAGTAAGAAAAAAGGACCCCTGGTAGTGCAGTGGCTAAAGCACTCAGCAGAAAGGTTGGTGGTTTGAACCCACCAGCTGTCCACAGGAGGAAGATGTGGTGGTCTCCATGTGTAAAGATCAACAGTCTTGTAAATTCTATGGGGGTGGTTCTACTCTGTTTACAAGGTCACTATGAGTCTAAATTGACTTAAACTTGGTTTATGTAAGAAAACTTGGTTTCCAGGTCATTTTGATTGGGTTTCCTGGTAACTAGTTGCTAAAAGTGGTGCAAACAGATAAATCCATGACTACTAGCCAAAAGGTTGGCAGTTCAAACTCACCCCAAAGCTCCTCAGAAAACAGGCCTGGCAATCTGCTTCTGAAAGGTTAGAGCCTTGAAAACCCTATGGAGCACACTCCTACTCTACACACGTGGGATCGCCATGAGTTGGAATCAGCTTAAAGGCAACAGGTTTATTATTTTTTATGCATTCTGGAGGAGGCTGGGAGCCACTGAAATAAAAAGAATGCTTTCATTATTATAACATGCGATTAACCTAGTTCTGTCTTAAAAACACAAAGTGGATCTCTTTGGCCGTGTTAACATCAGAGTTCATGTGAACTTACCAAAGATGTATGTATAGAAAACAATTGTGCTGCTGTACAAACATCTGACACTCATCTCTTTACCATAATAACCAACCAAACCAAACTCACTGCCGTCAAGTCGATTTTGACTCATAGTGGGCCCCATTGGGTTTCCAAGGTGGTAAATCTTTACCTAAGTAGATTGCCCCATCTTCCTTCTGTGGAGTGGCTGGTGGGTTTGAACAACCAACCTTCTGGTTAGTAGTCAAATGCCTTAGGCACTGTACCACCAGAGCTCCTTTTACCATTATATCAGCCAAAAAATACAAGTCAAGTTTGTTAATCCTTTACGTAACACATTATGTCACTACATGAAAATTACAACTGCACCTTCCCTATTGTCACTGATGAAATTTGGTCTATGATGTATGTTCCAAGTCATTTTTTTTTCCCCCAGTTTCTTCTCTTTCTACACTCAGTAGAGCAGTATCACACAGTTGGCCTTGACCCACGGGGGTCTCAATTAGCAAAGTATTAGTTTTAACTTGCTGAATTGAATGATCTCTCAAGCTGGCGATGGAAATAGTGACGATTAACAGAAACTGCTCAGTGGCAACCCCTGTGAAGTGGCGCCCTGCCGTAGCTTGGATGTATCTCTGGGACTTATCATAAACTTTCATTCTGAGATTTCTGATGAGGCTGTGTGTTCTCTCACCTCAGAATATTTAATTTCCTTTTCAGTCTTAAAAACTGTGGCTATGTAATGATTCCCAGTACAATAGCTTTGAAACCCTTTTGCCCTGGACCACGCTCCAAGTTCCCACAGGTGTACAAAAAGTGTTAGCAGCTGTACCTCACAGCAGCTCTAAAGACCAATCTCAGCATTCCCCTGACATTTGTTTTTCAAGAGGAAACAGTGCATAGAAAGGGGTTAGAGGCAACAAAAGTAACTATGTAACTGCTGAAGTTACTCTGAAAATGAGGTTTTCATGTTTGCCACAGGGAAGGAGAAAAGCCACTACACAGGTGTCCCAGATTCTCTGCCCTCCTCTCCTTCATTCCATAAATCATATCACTCAAACAATGCATGTCTGAGGTATGTTGTTTCTTAATGAGAATATATATATATTTTTTAACCTGGAGATAGAAACTTTGAGACAAAGACAAAAATCTTTTTGTGAAAAATTATTTTGGACTCTGAGGTTTCATTAAACCTCCATCTATGCATGAAAAGAGGAAAAGAGGAATGTGCAAGTAACTTCTATTTCACAAACATTTGAAGTATTTTTACTATTTTAAAATGAAGAAATCTCAAAACATCATCAATAGAAGTCAGAATTAAACTTTCACAGGACACTGTTGATGGCTACTGCCAAGTTGATTCCAACTCATGGTGACCCCATGTGTGCAGAGTAAAACTGCTCCATAAGGCTTCAAGGCTGTGACCCTTCAGGAACAGATCACCAGGTCTGTGTCCTCAAGGCACCTCTGGGTGGGTTTGAACCACCAACCTTTTCACTATTAGTTGACTGCTTCACCACTTGTGCCACACAGAAACCTTCACAGGATACTGTTGTTATGTGCCATCGAGTCAGACCTGACTCATAGCGACCCCTCCTTGGGTTTTCCAGGTGGTATTACTATGGAAATAGATTGACCAACCATCCTTCAGAGGAGTGGCTGGTGGGTTTGAACCGCCAGCATTCTGGTTAGCAGTCAAGTGCCTTAGGCACTATGCTTCCAGTGCTCCTACGTGTGTATGTATATATATATATATATATATATATATATATATATATATATATCAAATGAGTGTTGGCAGATTTTTTAAAAATCAACAGAAAACTGAACAAGATGGAGATCAAGACTCCTAGAAGCAACTGTCTCCTACTTAACAGGAAAACAAGGCAATCTATAAAAGTTTTCAATTCCACAGCATGGATCAGCCATTGAATTTGTTGTTGCTGTTGTTAGGCACTGTCAAGTTGGCTGGAACTCATAGCGACCCTATGTACAACAGAACAAAACACTTCCCGGTCCTGGGGCAGCCTCACAATCCTTGCTATACCTGAGTCCATCATTGCAGCCACTGTGTCAATCCATCTCCTTGAGGGTCTTCCCCTTTTTCCGCCACTGAATTGTTGTTGTTGTTATGTGCCCTCGAGTGGGACTCAACTCATAGCGACCCCTCCTTGGGTTTCCGAGGCAGTATCACTGCGGAAGTAGATTGCCCCATCTTCCTTCCCAGGAGTGGCTGGTGGGTTTGAACCGCCAGCCTTCCGATTAGCAGTCAAGTGCCTTAGGCACTAGGCTACCAGAGCTCCTAAAACAGTTTTTTTTTTTTTTTCTCTTTGCAAGGGAACACTCTCCTTATCTTCCCGAGCTTCCTTTCTTTTGTTATTTCTAAAGTTTTACGTTCTCAAGGCCAGGCTCAGGAATTTCGTTAATTAGCCTTTCAATGGTTAGTTGCGGGTCTCTCTTACTTACAGTTGGAGCCAACTTCCTTTCTGAGGTTTACAGGTGAAATAACTGGGGATCTCTGAGTGCAGTGTCAAGCTGATGCAGCAGTGATTATTTCTGTTTTACGAAATAGGATCAGGTTTGGAAAAGTTAACCAGTATCGGCGTCGCTGACTTCTAAAAACCAAACTCACTGCCGTGGAGCCTAGAATATTGACTTCTAGGTCACTATTTTTGGAGGCTATCTGGAGATCCTCTTCCACTCGACAAGACGGGCAGGAAGCCTGCGCCCCATTCCACTGCCTCTCCTGGGGTTCCAAGCCACCTTGTCCAGGTCGCACCAGCGGGTTCACGCCTCGGAACAGCGCTGGTTCTAAACCAGGTTTTGGAGCCCAGGCCCACGAGAAATGCGGGACAGTGACCGAGTGGCTTGCCGCCTGTTGTACTAGGAGACATTAGCCTTTAAGAAAACTCAGTCTCAACACAAACTCAATGAAAAATAAAGCATAAATTGGGGATTTAAGGAAAAAAAAGAAGTGGCACCTACAACATCTAAGCTGAAAGATTCATTCCTCTGCCTTCAAACCAGCAGTGTCATTGGGGCAGTTTTTGGACATGCAGGGAAGCGACTAATACCAAATAGGACTCATTACACTCATTTTCAAGGACATCTGTCCTTAAAAAAACAGTAAAACACCAAGCTGCAGTCCAAGTTCCCAGCTGCTCAGGGCCGTATGTAAATGAGGTGACTTTCAAGGTTGTGTCTGATTGGCAAGACTTCAGGATTCGTCACCAATGGAAACAGCCAATGGGCCTAAAACGATGCAAAATGCCTTTATCCCACTGGTAACTCCCCCATGCACAGTATAGTCCAATGGCATGGCTTGGGGCGCGCACTCTCCAATGCATATAAAACCTCACGCTTCCGTACGTTAAGTCTTTGAGACCACACCTTCTGGACGCCATGTCCGGACGAGGAAAGCAGGGAGTTAAAGCGCGCGCTAAGGCCAAGAGCCGTTCCTCCCGCGCGGGGCTGCAGTTCCCCGTGGGCCGTGTCTATCGCCTCCTCCGCAAGGGCAATTACTCAGAACGTGTAGGGGCTGGCGCGCCGGTTTACCTGGCAGCGGTGCTCGAGTACCTAACGGCTGAGATCCTGGAGCTGGCAGGGAACGCAGCCCGCGACAACAAGAAGACACGCATCATCCCGCGCCACCTGCAGCTGGCCATCCGCAACGACGAGGAGCTCAACAAGCTGCTGGGCCGTGTCACCATCGCGCAGGGCGGTGTCCTGCCCAACATCCAGGCCGTTCTGCTTCCCAAGAAGACTGAGAGCCACCACAAAGCCAAGGGCAAGTGAGGCAGCTCTCAGGCCGCCCGGGCTCCCGTCCGCAAAAACCAAAGGCTCTTTTCAGAGCCACCAAAATAGCCAGGAGAAGAGCTGCTATTTTCTTGTCCTTAGGTTCTGTCCTTGTGTTGAAGTCAGTGAATGGACATGATTATGCGAGTTAAATTGCTTTGGCTCTTGAACAGGTGAATCAACGCTGGTGTAAAACAAATTTGGTCCACAGTGTTTCGTGGACTAGAGCGATGGTGGGTACTGCTGTGAATAGGGTTGTTTTGCTGGGGTGCTTAATTTGCCACCCAACGGATATCTTCATCCCCATCAATTGTAGCTTGAATCTTGCTGCCCTGGTTTCCTACCAGCTCGTCTGATAGGAGACATTGTGTTTCAATACCTAATTTCTAAAAGGGCTGTCGCCCCTACTGGTTCACTTTGGCCTCTGCCATTGATTTCTGTCCTACTCCCGCCCCTCCTCCCCCCATTAAGTATATAAAGCTTTGCTTTATTATTATTATGAAACAGTTGCAGGAGGAGTCTACTACCCACTCATTGCCACCCAAATGTGTGTGAGTAAAACTGTACTCCATAGGGAGTTAATCTTTTGCCCCACCCAGCATGCAAACATTTTTCCCAATTGCATAGAGGTTAGGCTGAAAGTTTCCAACTTCCATGATTTTTTGTGTGTGCAGAATGGTCACAACTTTTTAGGACCCCAGGAGGTCTCCCTCTGCTGCTAACCTCCAGTCCCCAGTCAAGCCATCAGCTTTTCCCAGTCTTCTTATTTGGGACTTGTTCTGGCCAGTTCTAAACTTGGACAGTGGATGAAAGTTCTCTAGGTATATGTTAGTCCATGTTGAGTTAGCTAACAAACCTAGGAACACTGGGCAACTAGCTTGCCTGCAAAAAAGCTTTCTAGAAAATTTAGCTCAGGGTCCCCTTCCTCCTACTTCCTCTTCTCCCAGGCTCCTTGTGCTGTGGCTGCTTATGCTTTTCTGCATCATGCAGGCAGGTACCTAGATTAGAGATAGTTTCTGAAAGGTTTACTGACCTGTTTCCATCATAGCTGCCAAACCGACTTGCCCAAGTAGATTTGGGCTAGTGTCTTATTATTATTTTTTTAAACTCACTTTTTTAAAATATGTAAACAGTTGCTTTATTTTTTTTACCCTATGGCTTTTTTTGTTGTTGTTGTTTTTTTAAATTTTGGGAATCCTTGGGTGGCACACATAACTAAGTGCTAGTCTGAAAGGTTGGTGGTTCAGATCCACCCAGAGGTACCTCCAAGATCGGCATGGTGATTTGCTTCTGAGAGGTCACAGCCTTGAACAAACCCTATGGGGCAGTTCTACTCAACACACACAGTTTGCCAGAATCAACTTGACAACTAACAACATGGCTTTTCCTGCTATTGGCCCTGGTTTTGCTTTGTTACCGATATGTTGTTGTTGTTGTTTGCCATCGAGTCGGCCCTGACTCATAGTGACCCCTCCTTGGGTTTCTGAGGCAGTATCACTACGGAAGTAGGAATGCCCAACCTTCCTTCCGAGGAGTGGCCCTATATAGTATAAGAATAATAATGTTTATGAATTGCATTGTATTGTTATCAGAACACTTTAACAAATATGATTTATTTGTGCTTTCCAATGGCACTGTTTGAAGTGACATTTCCACCCATTTTACAAAAGTTGGAGCTCAGAGATAGTGTTTGACTTGCCAAAGTGGCAGCTCCTGATAGGTACCACCTGTTGATGGGGCTTGAGTGCTGCCAAGGGTCTCTATTTGCCACTGATAATAGATACTACATTGTAGGCCAGGTGCAGTCCTAGGTGTTCATATGCTTGACGTCTAGTGAATCCTTTTACTGCCTTATACACGGGCAAGTTGGACCAGTTGCCCAGTTTTAGTGATGAATGAGAGCCTGAAGCTGAGGGGTAAGTTGCTGCCAAGCTGACACAGATAATGGGGTTGGGATAGCCCTTGGGCTCTGGTTTCTAGAGTTGAGAACCTGCTTTTTCTGTTTTGTTTCCAGATGCTTCCCATTCTCATGTTTTAACATTAATTGTGGTAAATACATATTTAAAGTCCCTAAAGTTATAAAATTATTTAAAATTTCACATAAAACATCATACTGTATTTTCTTTAAAAATATACAACATTGTTTTCTACCAGAGAGAGTGTAAGTAAGCTGTAGCACCCTATAACAGAAAGCCTTAAAAGAAATGGCAAAATCATTGGTCTGTTTTTTCATTTGTTCGTCTACATGTTTGATTGTTTGAACAGTATTTTTAATTGTGGACATTTTGCTTTGCATTTGAATTGGGCTGATCAATGGATAAAAGCAGATAGGTAATTGAGAAGTAGCCATTGCAAGGGGAAATAAACATTTTCAAGACTGAAAAAAAAAAATTTGCAAAAAACAAAGCATTCTTCACTGTACAGTTCAGTGACATTAACTTACGTTCATCATGTTGTTCAATCTTCACCCTTATCTGTTCCCAGTTTTTTCTGTCACCCTTAACAGAAGCATTGTATCCTCCTTTTCCCTTCCTCCTGCCTGCCCTGGTAAGAGACCCTGCCTTCTGACCACTGGCCTTTAGCAGAGCTTCATGCTCCAGCAGTGCAGGACAGTGGCTATGGTGGAGTCCTTCCCACACATCCCTGATGTTCCAGTGGGTGCCCAAAATGCTCCCTTGTCCATAGGTCACTTCAGTTTCTTTAAAATATTGGACTCAGACCAGATGACCTCTATATCAGGGGTTCTTAGCCTGGATTAATTCAAGTTGTGTATGAACTTGGATAGGTACAATTAAACACTCCAGTATTAGCCAAAAAGTTGGCAATTTGAGCCCTGCCGGAGGTACCTTGGAAGACAGGCCCGGTGATCTGTTTCCAAAAGGTCACATCCTTAAAACTCTGTGGAGAAGTTCTACTCTGTACTCCTGGGGTTGCTATGAGTTGGAATCGACTCAATAGCAGCTGACTACAACATGGTACAATTTAGCATTTTCTCCTACCTGAATATAGGCAGCAAACCACAGTAGTATTGGTAGGGCCTGTGTATTAGTATTACCAATATACATTACAAATATTCTCATGCCAAAAAAACCAAACTCACTGCTGTCGAGTTGTTTCTGACTCATAGTGACCCCTCCTTGGGTTTCTGAGGTGGTATCACTACTGATAGATTGTCCAGTCTTCCTTCCGAGGAGTGACTAGTGGGTTTGAACCACCAACTTTCTGGTTAACAGTCAAATGCCTTGGGTTCTTAGTATAAGATGGTGTTTATAGATATCTCAAAATAACATTCATGTTCGTCACTACTTTAAAATTACGGTAGGGATCAAGTTTTAATGCAGTAATAGAGAAGCACAATTATGCTTCTTACAAATTTCATTTTTAGAATGTTTTGTCTACTGTATTTTAATAAAATTGATTTCTTTTATAATCTTAAGTATTTTATTCCTTTAAAAACAGAATTCTGAGAAAGGCCCACAGTCTTTGCCAGGTGATCAGAGGAATTCTATGCTCTGAGGGGTCTTTCATCCATTTCTAAGATTTTGTAAAAGTCAGTTGTTGCTACTTTTTCGTGCTGATAATACTGGAGTCCCTGGGTGGTGCAAATGGTTAAATGCTTGACTATGGGCCAAAGGGGTGGGTAGTTTGAAACCCGCTCAGGTGCCTCAGAAGACGGGCCTGCTGATCTGCTTCTGAAAGGTCACAGCCTTCAAAACCCTGTGGAATGGTTCTACTCTGCACACATGGGGTCTCCATGAGTCAGAAACAAGAGGCAAAAATGACCTCTTTTCTGATACCCACTAAGTCCCTGCTACCCAAAGTGTGGCCTGAAAGGTTTGACAGAAGACATTTCTACATGTGTGTTTATATGAGCTACAGATATATCCATGAGTATAGTAGAGCATACAGGGGGCAAAGTTATGAAAACTTAATCACAACCAGACACCTTGAGGGAATGAGTCACTGGCCTAGGGGCTCAGGACCATAGTCTCTGGAGACGTTAAGGTCAATTGTCATTAAATAGGCCACAAAGACTAACTTCTACATCCTTTGGTACCAGAGTCACCACTGGGGTCTGGAAAACTTGTAAGGGGCCACCTATGATGCTTGTTTCTCTCTGTCTGGAGCAAAGAAGAGTGAAGGAAATAAAAAACATGGAAACAATTAGTCCAAAGGACTGATGAATCATGGGAGTCCCATCCTCCACCACTTAGGCCAGATGTCTGGTTACCACTACCTACTGCTCTGAAAAGAAGCACAATTGGAGGTCCTGGACAAAGTGGGAGGAAAATGTGGGACTAAAAAAGACCAGGCTGACTGGTCTGATAGAGACTGGTGGAACCCCCAACACTATGGCCCTTAGATACCTTCAAGCCTGGTACTGAACTCACACACCTGTAGCTCAATATTTAGCCAAAGGATAGGCCTGTACAGTGAACAACACACCAGGGAGTATCCACTCCCTGGAATAACTAACCATATGAGAGATCAAAAAGGCAGCATTTTCCTAGGGATATATCTCAGAAGGCAAGAAGGGATAGGACAGAAGGATGAATGGGAACAGTAAACAGGGAGGAAGTGGGAAGAGTGCTGCTACATTGTGGGGATTACAATCAATGTCAGGAGTCAAAATGTGTGTGGATTGTTGAATGAAAAATGAATTTGCCATGTAAACTTTCACTCAAATCACAATAAAAGTTAAAAAAAAGAAAAAGCAAATTGTGGTCTGAAGACCAGCACAATCAGCATCACCTGGGCTCTTGTTGGAAATTCATCATCTGGGTACGCACTCCAGACCCACTGAATGAGAATCTACAGTTTCCAACAATCCCCAGGGCGTCTGCCAGCAAATTCAGCTCTGAGAAGCACTGGACTCACTCATTCTGAGCCTTCAGAAAAGTCAGCAACAAGAGCAGCGGCCACAAGGACGTCTTGGGCAAGCCCCAGAATAGAGTGTGTAGTTTCTCCCTATCAGTCAAACTTGGCTTTTTTGTCTCTCTGC